GGCTCACCCCCTATTACATTGGACTCATAACAAAAATAGTGAAAAGTGGGTGTTAAATTGTACAATGGCATAATGTGCACCTCTGCCTACCCCTTCAGGGGTAAAAGGCGCGACGTTAAGTTATATGTTAACGAACAGTAATTCATTTTTCATACATATAGATTTTCTATTTTCGTCTGAACTAACATTGATGTGAAGTGTAAACGCAAGCTGTTTGCTAGAATGTGGTTGAGACAGAATTCAATTTAGTACACTCCCTGTTCCCATATCAACATACTGGATAATGTAATATGTATTAATGTGAACGGTAAACGATCATGTATGACTAAGAATGTAACTACATATGTTTTATTATAAACGATTTCCTATTATGTCCAGTTAAAAACTGATCACTATATAGTCATTTTTTTATCGGAAAAGCCCGCCACAACCTCCCAAAACCGCTACAACTCCCGTAAGCCAGGATCTACAGTAGATACAACTCAAACTCAAAACCATTTATTTCAATTAAATCATAATTTGGTACTTTTGAAACGTCAACAAGACAGACTGCCTCGTTGGCCGTATGGTCGCAAGTGCGACTGCCGGGCAGGGGGTCTCGGATTCGACATCGGACAAAGTATTACTGGATTATTTAAAAAAATAGGATTAGCACAGAGTCTGGAAATGTGCTCATATTATGGTAATAGGCTTACCCCCTATTACATGGGACTCATAACATAAATACCGAAAACTGGGTGTTACGTTGTACAGTGGCATTAAGCGCCGTAATGTGCACCTATGCCTACCTTCGGGGATAAAAGACGTGATGTTATGTCATTGTTATGCTAGTACAAAATATCACAAAATAGCACACAATTACAGCATAATAATAATAAGCTAAGTCTATCGCCTCGACTTTAATTCTATTTCACCGATCTCTGTGATACAGGTATTTCCCTAGTACTGAAGTCAGATTTTTAATTTTGTACTACGACACTATGACTTGTTTCAAAGTAATGTATCCTTGTGTACTTTTTTGCGTAATAAAGATTATTATTAAGTATGTCTTTACCATTCACGGAACCACAGGGTCCCGGTCATTTGGGAGACGTACGAGGGGCCGAAGCCAACGGCGCAGAGTCCCTTTAGACAACTTTAATATAAATGTAATGGATACACAATTATCGCCATATTTCATTGTGATCAGTCAACTAGGCAACTATCAACAAACAGATTATATTGGTGAGTATTATTGTTCCTACAACCAATAGGTTTCCATCCGATAACATCAAAACTTTAAAATCCAATATAATATCATTGTTTTAGCCGAAAACAAGAACAACAGATATTATTATAATTAAAACAATAACTAGTTAGCTGTTCTATAAAGGTCTTCCGAAGAGTTTTCATAAGTTTTACAATCTGAAACCTTTAGTTAAAATTTCAAGAGCTCGTTGTGTTAATTAATAAAACATAAATAAATATTTCTCCAGTACTGAAACCAACCAATGCCTGGTTCAAACAAGTGGTAACAGATAATTATGACCATTTACTAGCTTCTGCCCGCGACTTCGTACGCGTAATCCCATTTTTTCCCGTCCCCGTTCGTGATTTTCGGTAAAAAGTAAAAAAAAAGTATTGGTTTAAAAGTATCCTATGTCGGTCTCCCGGCTTTAAGCTACCTCCCTACCAATTTTCAGCCAAATCTATTCTGCCGTTCTTGAGTTATAAGTGGTGTAACTAACACGACTTTCTTTTATATATATAGATGCTTCGATATGCTTCGGCACGAATAGGCTGGCTCGACCGGAGCGAAACCACAGCCTCACAGAAAACCGACGTGAAACAACGCTTGCGTGATGTTTCATCGTGTAAGTGAGGTTACCAGGGGCCCAATTACCCTCCTCCTCCACCTCAGTCTACCCAATCCCCGAATCCCCACAATCCTCAAATTCCTATTCTCCAAAAGGCCGGTTACGCACTTGGAACGCCTCAGGTGTTTCAGGTGTCCATAGGCGGCGCCGATTGCTTACCATCAGGTAATCTGTCAGTTCGTTAACCGGCTTAGTCCATAAAAAAACATAAATAAGCATTTCTCTGGTACTCAATCTAAGTAACGATTGGTTCAAATAAATGGTATGGATATGACTATTAAGCAAGGGTTTCTGTATTGTGGCTAGTAACTATGATAACAGTGATTATTTTCTCTTTAGTAGAACTCTAACTTCTATTATTCGGTGCTAGCCAAATGTTATATATACTATACTTTTACAAGCGATTTATACTTAGAGAATAAAAAACTCAATGTAAACTATGGGGATCACATAAGCAAAATAGACAGAGTTTGATCTCTCTGAGATTGGTAGCAAAATGCACACAGCAACCACTTAACAGTAGGTGTGTACCCACTGGTAAGTGAGAAGTCGCTGCCACAAGTTTTTAACAAAATTATTCGTTTAATCCTTAATAGATACCTTACACTAATAAGCTGTTTACAATTTTATTATGGATTATACCTGTGAGCATTAGCTTAATATATTGCATGGGTTTGCGGCATCGACTTCTAACCTATCAGTGGGTGTGTAAGCTATAAATACGTATGACCAATAATAGTTATTTTTTGCTTTTTAGTTTTGGATTGTTTTTGTTTTTGAAGTCGGTTTTTTAAACGCAGTTTTTATTTTATGAATGAATGAATGAATGAATGAATGAATGAATGAATGTCCTTTATTTCTCAGTACATGGTGCACACAGATCTTAAAATTAACAGAGTTCCACACATACTACCGTTACCGGTGTAGAAATATAAAATTGTATTAACAATATTAATTTATGTCGCATTAATGAACAATTATATTGAAATTATTATTATTATTATTGGAAACAATTCAAATACATTAAAACAGGTAAAGTCAGAAAATAAATTAGAGATGTCATAAAATTAAGATGTCATTATGTATCAGTAGTCAAATTGTAATATACTAAAAAGTCAATAAATTAATAGTCACAACAAATCAGGAACTATACTATACTTTTTAGTTTAGTACTAGAATATTTTATATTATGTACAATCCACATCGGTGCAAAGTTTTCATCAATACAAATTATTCAAGCTCAAACACCAGGTAGCTACTGTTAACCATTGTTCTCTTAGCTATCATATTACTTCATCATTGAACATTTAGTGACTTTTTTTTCAGGGGGGCAATCATCCAATGACTTCTCCCGCCTGGGTGAGGCGGAAGGGAGTATCAGACTCTTACTGACTAAAAACCACCCCGTTCCTACTCCTACACTTCGAACCGGAGCCCTGGTTATCCGTTAAGTCTTCCGCATCTCCGTACTGGTCCATAGAAAGGTTACCCAAATACCACTTTTTACGGGCGAACGCGTTTCTTAGCGCTCGACACGGAGCCATTGCTAGCACCTTTTAGATAACCTAGTATCATAATATTATCCCTCTAAGTCAATATGAAACCGTTGTTGTCTTACCCGAAAATGTATTTCGGCTTCACATACAAAAAAGACACTAATTTCTTTCGCTATTTAGATCTTAGGCATTTCTCGGAAATTACATTTACAAATTCAAGCTACTATAGATTCATGAAGGTATTGCAGTTATTTGGGTCAACTTGCAAACTATTGGCCCGTGGATATTGACCCAAATATATTCTCTGAACCTCATAACTTCACTGACTATCTGAAAGTCTTGTGTTCTGCCTATGTTCAGCAGTTTTGTGGCTGATGTGATTATGATGGTGATGATGAAGCCTAGCTCCATATTATCTTCACTACCTTTTCTCAGTCTCTGTTGAAGCTATGCCAATAAAGTTAAGAAACAACAGCTTCTTTTACCTTTCGTAATCCCGTTGATATATTTTCCGATTTCAAATTCACACTTCTAAGAAAACACAATAGACTAAAAGCAAATATTATTATGCAACACACCTTTTCCTATTCATCCGATGAAAGACACAATATCATATCACATCTTGTTATGTTAAAAGAGATCTTAGTAACATAGCCTTGAGTTATATTTTCCCTTAAACTTTCGCGTCAGTAAAGAAACCAACACAATTATGTCCGTCTATCCCCTTGGTGGTTGAGAGAGGGCCTCGCAATAAATGTACCCAGCAAAGAGGATTTATTCTGAAACTATTTTGCGTGGGCAAGGCTCTGAGAGGAAAATATTTTTGTTTTGTATATACATATATTATAAGAAGTTACTTGGTACTGTGGTGGTTTATTTAAAGGTATTTTAGTTTTGTTGCATAGATACAAAAATTATTTACTGTTTCGTTTACTGTACTGTTTGAAATGATAGTGTGACCCAACTAGGGATTGATTCTCGGATAACATAAAGTTAGCCTCATTGGTAGAATATTGACAAGTGCGTCTCTTGAGCAATGTAATAATAGAAAATTTTCGTTAATCGAATTTTTTTTTTGGGATGATCCGATAAACGAGCAGATGGATAACTTGATGGTAAGCAATAGATGATGCCCAATTGACCTGGAGCACCATTGGTGTTATAACTGCGTTACCGGCCTTCTCACTGGTATCTAAAATTGTATTCAATACTAATAGGCTCCTAATACATGAGACTCTAACAGAGGTAATTGAAATATGTACCTCTGCTAACTCCTTGAAGATTAAAAACGTGATGTTATGATGTGTCCTAATTCAAAACACTCCACAGTCGCCTACTATCAAATTACTATGTAAAATTTAATTTTAATATTAATTTTGTTAATACGACTGGACCCTTATCAAAATTGGATCACATTGTTCAAACCTAACTTGGCATAGAATTGATGATAGTCTCTGAAGGACAATTTAGGTATTCATGACAAAATAGACCTTAAGTAATAGAAAATAGAATTCATTATTTTGCTGACTTGTTAAGCTGAAATTGACTTTCAAAATCTCAAAGGACATTGCTGTAAGTGTCATGGGTATGAATTTTCTGATTTCTAGAAATGGTATAGGTAGTGAAGTTAGCGATACGAACAACAAACCGCATTTTTGATGGCCTCGCCAAGGGTGGATAGTTAATTCGGCATCCCCACTTTTTTATATGTTTTTATTACATTGCCTATATTATATTTCCGGTTCGGAAATGAAAATTAGGTATGTGTATATTTTAACCTATTATTTTTATAACTGACTTGCCTGCCTCGTTGGCCGAGTGGTCGCAATTGCGACTGCCGGGTAAGGGGTCTCGGGTTCGATTCCCGGGTCGGGCAAAGTATTACTGGGTTTTAAAAAAAATCTCAGTAGTAGCACGGAGTCTGGAACTGTGCCCGGTATATGGCAATAGACTCACCCCCTATTACATGGGACTCATAACATAAATGGTGAAAAGTGGGTGTTACATTGTACAGTGGTATAATGTGCGCCTCTGCCTACCCCTTCGAGGATAAAAGGCGTGATGTTATGTTATATTATATTTCATGGGCCGACTTTGAATTAGTTACCTAACAACTTAGTGTAAAAACTAAAGATATTATTTCGCTATGTTACAAAATTGCGTTTTTTCTGTCGCCGCTTCGTCTGAGATAAATCTTTCAAATTAGCGGGCCCCGTCTACTAGCTCGACCCTCGTCACTCTAACCACATAGATCGCGTATCGTATGGTTTCCTAACCAATAAACATTATTGTGTTAGGAATAAAAGTAATTTCTAGCTCTTTTGTAAAGCTAAAGCTATCTTACATATGTTTTTATAATAAATACTGAAAAGTGAGTGTTACATTGTACAGTGGCATAATGTGCACCTCTGCTTACCTCTTTGGAGATAAAACGCGTTATGTTATGTTATGTTTTATAATAACTATCGTAAGACATACTTAATTAATTAAAAAAGCTCTACTAGTTTCGAACTACAGAGGGGTTCTTCCTCATGAGCAGCCTGCGTGGTGAGCTGCGCGACATCGCCGCGACCGCACTTGGCCGCGATTATAATTATTTTAGAGATGTATGAATAGTGAACCAGGTTTACAGGTTAAGGAGGTATTCTATGGTATTCTCTGAACAAATTAAGGACAACTGAACAACGAGGTTCTACACCACAATACAAGTGGCCACAAATTGGGGCCGATGGAGACAATTTGCCCGATCCATAACGATGGTAGAATGATCACGATTCTCAGTCACGAGGAAACGACCAGAGAGAGAAGATAAGTAGTACTAAGTTTTGTCATCTAGAACTGATCTGCCTCATTGGCCGAGTGGTCGCAAGCGCGACTGCCGGGCAAGGTGTCTCGGATTCGATTCCCGGGTCAGGCAAAGTATTATTGCGTTTTTAAAAAGAATCACAATAGTAGCACGGAGGCTGGAATTGCGCCCGGTATATGGCAATAAGCTCACCCCCTATTACATGGGACTCATAACAACAATTGTGAAAAGTGGGTGTTACATTGTACAGTGGCATAATGTACACCTCTGCCTACCCCTTCGGGGATAAAAGGCGTGATGTTATGTTATGAACTGATCGCAAGCTCGACCGAGCATGGAGTTTCAGGTTAGTTTTTGGTTTGGGTAGACTATTTTGACAAGCCCACCACAACTTCCCAATACCGCCGCAACTCCTGTAAGCCAGGATATACAGTAGATACAAACATGAAAACACCGCAACACTGAAGTCCGGCGCGTCCCAGGGACATGAGTAACTGTCTTGGTTCCCGCAACGAAGTGAATCAAATATTATAAGAGGAGAAGAAGAAAAAACTATAGTTTCCACTTCCCTCGGTGAATTACTGCAGGAGACAGAATGAATTAAGCCTAAAGGCACAAAGAAGAGACTGTACAACTGGGTGAAGCCCAGTCGCCAAGCACCACGGAAATTTGACTAAAAACTAAGTGGGTCCTATGTGTGAGCTGTTATACTTCCTTCCAATAATAGGTATGGCAAAAGCGCCTAAACGCACGGAAATTTGTTCTAGATTCCACAAGGTCCGTATAATAAGCTACGAACGACGAAACACTAAAATTATTTAACATAGTGTTACGTTCATATTGCCAGAGATCACACTGGGTAGACTATTATTAAGAAAATGTTCACAAATTCTTTACGTCAGCATTCACGGAGCCCAAGATGAGGCCTAGTTATAGAAATAATATCGCCTGCTACCATTTTCATGAGCCAACATTTATGAAGATAATAAAACTCTTGATCATTGCTTAACTACTCAAGGATTTTAAAGAATCTGTATTTTCTTCATTTGGGAAACAAGAAAGAGTTGTGTTTTGTTTTTTTTTTGTTTGTATACAGAATTTATTTTCGCTGTCAGGTCTATATAATAGTACGAGAGATGACGACTAAAACCTTGTCTCATAGCAATACGGCAAAAACCCTATAAAATCGTTAGATTGTATGATTCTGAACCCGACTAGGTGTGTCGTAACGGTCGAAAGTGTAGCAATTGCGTGGAAGGCCATTTCTGCTGTGTCAAAAATATCTGAGTATCGAAAAGTTGTCTGATAGAGCACTTATTTTGTCTGATATAATTTTTTTGCACATGTGGATAACTTATTTCATCATGTCTAACAATTTTCAGACATATTGCCATGATACCGATCGGTAAAATTTGTTAATATTTTCAAAACGGTCTCAATTCGGACGGAAATGTGAACGCATTAAATATGCGTTCACATTTCCGTCGTTTTGTCAAAATTGTTTTCTTCGCATCAAATAACCAAAATTTACTAATAAAAAAGGTTTTCAGACGTATTGCTATGAGACATTTTTTTTGTCTGGTGTTTTTGTGGTCAGGTCAGAAAATGTTTGATATTGGTATTTTCGAGTTCAGGATAATCGTATCTATCGATTTGAGGCGGTTTTGGCCGTATTGCTATGAGACAAAAATTTTGGTCTTCATCTCTCGTACTATAAGCGAGGGCGTGTCGGTAACCGTACTCAATGGTACTACTGAGAATTTTCCTTTTAAATAACTTCACTTTAGTTGGTCAAAAAACTGCAACTTATGGTAGTCTTCCAAACTGGCTTTTACCCACGTCTTCGGACATTTATAAATCGTTTGGTTTAATACTATCTAAGTAATGTATTTGTCGAAATTAAGTAACCTCGTCACTAAAATTGGAAATATTACTTTTATTTATTTCATCATCACTTAGTGCACTACTTACATTATCTTACAAATCAAATAACTAACAAATTAGGTTTTTAACTCATCATCTATAAGTTTACATTTTGGAAGAATTTAGAAAAATCAAAATATTATCTTAGTATATATAATATATCATTGTATAGTGGCATTAAACACCGTAATGTGCAGAGGTGCACCTACCTGCCTACTCCTTCGGGGATAAAAGGCGTGATGTTATATTATGTTTATGTTATCTTAGTATATTCTAAGCATGCTTCTTTTCGTTTTAGGCACCAGTATTTTGGGTTAAACCCATGTCACGTGCCGATCACGATCTATTTTATATGCTAACTATCCACAACAACTTTCATAGATTTTTATGTGAATTTTAGAACACTCAATTTACATACTCACATAGTATAAAAGGGTTTTAAATTTTTTGAAATTGCTACCTATCCACGCATTCCCAAATATAGTACATTCAAAAAGAGTTATAATGTAAAACTAAGTTTGGAGCTCTCTTCACAAAAAATTGCGACACTTTTTCATTTGAGATATTTTCTGAACTTTCACTGAAGCTTAACTCCGGCATTAAAAGGTTCCGTATGTCGGTATGTATGTACGTAGGAAGCTGGAGCCGAGACTGTGACGAATTTAACGTTCACAGCGCCAAACTTTTAATGAAAACGAGCCGACGACTAAAATCTCCTGTTATAGGAATTTTAATTACATTTCGCACATTTTGTTGACCATTAAGGGTATTTTCTGCTTGTAGGACACATGTTTCCGTAAAAGGATTGCTTCTGTTTTGATCCTTGAGTTTTTGGACATCAACCATAATTATGTTCGACCTTTAGAAATGACTTTCGTAAACCGCGAACCGGGTTCTGCTCAACACGTTTATTTATGGTTGTCAAATGATACAAAATAAAGGGGTTTTGCTGTTAGGATTAGTGGAGGAATATTTTATTCTTGTTCCTTTGAAGTTAGAGTTAATAATACAATTTATGTCACTCAAATCAGACCTTAAAAGAAAGCGTACTTATTGATAGAACCAATAGCTGAAGTGAGAACAGTGTTAAATGGACGCAATGTTACATTCCGCAATCTAAATATAAACAATGAAGTCAATAAAAAATACATTTCGTGAATCAGTTCCAACACGTACTACGATTCAACTAAACCAATTTAAAATTCCTATAGCCATATCTTCTATTGCCAGTATAAAAAAAAACTTTGGAACAGGAAAAATTACGAAACTGCCTGCAGCCTTTTTTCTTTTGTACAATTCTCACGTAATTGAACAGGATGACAGATTATACCCGTTTTGAATCTCTCGGCTATTAATTACGATGATTCCTCAAAGGAATGAGGACACATTACAATCGTTCTAGCGTTCGCAAACTCATCAATCAGTACATTTGATTGTCCTTGATGGATGGTTACCGATCTTAGGGGATTTGGGATTTTGCTAATATTATGTTTTCGTTTTTGGACGGCCAATTTGCCTTTTTGTTTTGTTTTGATACTGTTTATACCGTGGCTTGCTTCTTTCGAGTGTTTTAAATCGATAATAATCAATACCAGGTACCTGATATAAAAGCAAGATAAAGTATGAGTATACAGATTTTCTTTACATCGAAGTTAGAAATATTCGGAAGATTCATTCAGTAAATAAGTTCTTAAACGTCCTATTAAAACTAATTGGTTATTATTTACATATCGTTACATGAAAATTTTGGAATCGAAAAAGGGTATAGTTGTTTGGTCAAACTATAGATCAAAACAGAGAATTCACCGACGATTTTTTTTTTTATTTATGGCATAATCCGGTAATAGAGCAGACGGATCACCTGATGGTAAGCAATCGCCGTCTTCCATGGACACCTGGAACACCAAAGCGTTACAAATGCATT